TTAGACCAGTATAAAAATGAAGTATGGACAAAATGAAATATTGCGCATATTGAAGTATATATAGTGTTATAATTATTTTCGATCACTTATAGGACATCTTTAATATTTGATAAATAAATTATTGAATATATGAAACATGATCAGTTTCAATGAGTGTATGAATTGGAAACTGGATTTTGGGTTTTCATCCGCAGAGAACCCGTTGGCTTTCATTAATTTTGTTTTGTAAGAGATTATAAACGTTCACGTGTATTAGCAGATATCTTTCCGAGTACTATTATTCTCATAACCATGTGTTTTATTCCAAGTTTGTAAAAGTATATTATTAACGATACAAAATTTTCATATATATCATACACAGGTTATTATGGAAGTGGCTTCGCCTTGCGTTGATTTCTCCGTGACGTTTTCGGCTGTAACCAGTAAATATAGAGTGGGATGAAGTCTTCAAATTTTTCTGTTGATGAAGTATAAATTGGAAGAGAAACATGCTAGTTAAAAATTTCAAGATTAATTTCAAGATTCAAGACACATTTCAAGATTAATTTACCGTAGATTTTGAATAAACACATCTGATTTTAAGGTCGATCAGAGATAGATTCTTCTTTCCCATCAACAACAACAAAAAAAAAAAAAAACTCTTCAAACTCTGCACCAAACAAAGGTTACCCTTTTTGCTTAATTTTAGAAGTATAGAATGCCAGTGTCTACCAAAGAAGAAGCTCAACTGCGGGCTAACATCTATAGCCAACTCCAGGTTTTTTAAAAATTCTGTAATCATGACGGTAAACGTACTTTGGACACCCTTAGAATATTCTGATGGCCTATATCTCTGTTCGAATGCTTTTAATTACCACCTGCGATAGTATGATAATAAATCAGACAATTCTATTTTGTATTTAATTACTCAAGAATTCGTTTCCTTTTTCAATTTCAAATCTAAAAAACTGCGCAACATTTACTGGCAGTTTAGTTCATGTAATAATTAGATATGTTTTTGATTTGATCGTTTTCGATGTCGAGGATGCTTGCAACGTGTGACAAAAATTTTATTAGCATTGCTTATACACTGGTGTGCAAAACTTAAGCAACAGGTGTTCTTTTTGACATAAATCCACGAGATATCATCTGAGAGACATGAAATTCAGAAATAAGAGACAGCATTTTGTATTTAAACGATGACGAAAGCATAATTGAGCAAAAATGAATACAATGCATACAGTATGGAATTAAACAAAAAACAGGCTTTATTGAACTCATAGTATCGTTACACATGATTGTCTGTATAAGAGGAAGAACAACAAGCAGATGTTCCTTAGTATGGGATATGCCCTCCCCTTACAGCAGTGGTTGCTTCTCACCGTCTCCCCACACTCAGTACCGGATTGTCCAACAGATCTTGAGGTGAGAGTGCCCATTCCTCAATCAACATCTGTTTCAGTTGTTGGGTGTTCACCGGAGGATGTAATCGTGCTTCAAGGCGTCTTCCCAAAGCATCCCATACATGTTCTATGAGATTTAAATCAGGGGAGTACGCTGGCCAATCCATTCGAGTGATATCTTCACTTTTCAGTAGCTTCAGAACAGAAGGAGTCCGGTGTGGCCGTGCATTGTCATCCATAAAAACGAAGTCTGGTCCAATTGCACCTCGGAACAGACGCACATAGGGAAGGATCACCTCCTGACAATAGTCATCTCCGGTTACAGAGCTTCTGTCGAAAACGTGGAGCTCTTTCCGCCCGTTCAGCGTAATGCCTCCCCAGACGACATCTCCAGGACACCGTAATGGTCTCTTTCCGTGATGTTACTGAGATTAAACCGTGTCCTTACCTCTTTCCAAATAAGTTGGCGTTGAGAATCGCTTGGGGCTCTAAAACGACTCTCATCCGTAAGGAGGACACGACTCCATTGATGAGATGCCTAGTTTTTGCGCTCCTTGCACCACTCTAAACGGTGGCGCCGATGGCCAACTTTCAAAGGGATGCAGCTTTCAGGACGGCGGGCGAATAAGCCATCTTTGTGAAGGTGTCTGGACACAGTAAACCACGACAATTGTCGCCAGTTGCAGAGCTGTGGAACTTACTGACTGATTTTGGGCTCTTTTCGACTGTAGGACGATACATCGGTTATCTACTGCAGTTGGTGTCCTGGAGCGGCCACCACCAAACTTTCTAATAGCTGTACCTATGGTTTGGAAGACTTTTCAAGCCCGCGAAACGACACTTTTGTTGACTTCGAAATCTTCAGCCACACTGGTCACACTACGCCGCAGTTGGTGTCCTGGAGCAGCCACCACCAACCTTTCTAATAGCTGTACCTATGGTTTGGAAGACTTTCCAAGCCCGCGAAACGACACTATTGTTGACTTCGAAATCTTCAGCCACACTGGTCACACTACGCCCCTCCTCCAGCTTTCCGATCATTCTTCCACTCGTGAAGTCATCCAGGCATGAACCTTATAAGAGATAGTCCAACCCAGAGGGCGGGGCGCGCGTCACCGACATGTCCGCATGAAAGAGTAGGGACGATCTGGTTTACTTTAACACTGAAACCTATGGCGTTTGTACCACATAACTGTTTTTAATTATTAAATGTGACACGTTGTATAGTGATGAGATTATGAAAGTCACAGTTTTTTTCCAAATAGGATGTAATAAATCTCATTAAAGCACTTTTTACTGCATTTCGCGCATTTTTTACACGCGTAATTTTTGTACAAACATCTTTACATTGGTAAAACGGTAAAAACTCTAAGCACAATATTTATGAACTTAATTTTGCGTACAAATAACGTAAAATTAAATAAGATTGATAGTACGTGATGCTTTGAAATAAATAAGGTAAAATTAAAACAAGATTTGATAATTTTTTTTTTTTTAAATTTAATGGCCATTTTCAGGCAGTGATTTTCAAAATTATAATAACATTAGAAAACAATCATTTATTTCATTATATCATCATTAACTTATTATAGTGCAATATTTATTTTAGTAATTTATAAAATTCGGAGCATCAAATTAAACTTTTCTGAGTGTAATGTAATGAAGGAAAAAAAAGATAAAATAAAATCTAGACGCACTGAGATTTTATATTACGCCCCAAAAGGAACCTTTTTTTTTTAACATTTTGTGTGGTACCTATATTTATTGAATATCATGTTCTTCGCCCGCCCGAAAACCACATATATTTGAAAACAGCATACCTTTAGAAATTTCCGCACTGGAGATAAAAATGTTATTTTCCGTACAGTGTTACGATTACTCGCTTTGAACTCGCTGAGTTTATTAATCAAAATTTTTTTAAAGTTTTACAAAATATGAAATAGATTAAAAGAAATTCGAAATTCGACCGTTCAGATGCCCATGTTCGGGTGGAGGATTGCATTATTCAAAATTTGATGAGTCTAGATTCCGTCATTTTGTCACAGGGCGAGAAACTGTGACAAAATTGTATGCATGAATACATGTTGCATACATGTATTCATGCAGATTTTTCATTATTTAATTTCTTTAAATATAATACAGGGCGATAATATTTGGTAACAACAATTTGCAAGGAGACACAGGCATTTATAGTGAAACAGCGCAAAATGCCGCTTCGAGCTAATACATTAAATTAACAGTAAATAAAAAATATTTTATGCAGAACTAAAAATAAATTTAAAAAATAATCACTATAAAATAAAAATAAAAAGCAAAATTAATTATTACTGTTAAATACAATTTTAATATTAAGTGTATAATTAAATTAAGGAGTTCAAAAGTGTTTTTATCACTATGATGTATTATGAAATATGATTGAAATAAAATTCCTTTATAGAAATTGTGCTATAATACTCATCCATAATTTTAAAAAAGCAGCACAATTTAGAATTTTAAACAAAACTGTCAAAAATTCGTTTTTAAATATTTTAGTATTTTTAACTTATTTACAAAAATAAAAAGCATAAAAATTGCAAGAGAAAAATGCTTGTTTGAAATTTTATATTAGTTCAGATTTAAAATATTATTTTCTAAAGGAAGTAGTAACAAATTTCCTTACAGCATAGGAAATGCTAAAAAAATATGCAGCCCTGAAAGCATGCAATAGCTTTATAATTATCTCGAACGCTAATAATGCTCGATAAATATGCTAAATTTTTAAAAATCAATCTCAGTTTCAAAAATAAAAATATGTAGAAATTCTAATTTGTGAAATGTGGCGCTACAACCAGCTTTTTCTTGACAATTATACACGCTGCAATAGGTAACCACTGTTAAATTTCTGCAAGTCGTCCCCTACTCCTCCGTATGTGATCAAGGTGACAGCTGGAAACGCGTCAGACAAGGGGGAAAACCAACGACTTCTTAACAGCATTCTGTGTTTAGGTTTTTATATATTTAAAATTTTTTAATAACGATGCTTTGAGTTTTATGAATTTTTTCTTTGCCGCAAAGTGAGAAATGAATTAACTGAATGAGAATATATCTCTAATGAAATTCGAGGAAATAAGTTTTAATTAAGTGCAGCAAAAAATGTGTATAAGTTAATAATACATACAAAGAAGTCATGAGGTGTCCACATCAGATATTTTAATAAATGAGTATGTAAGATCTATTTCTTAAAAAACTGGCAAACTTTCAAAGATAGGTTGTCCTGTAAAACTCACAGCCAAATAAATGTCCATTCTAGCATATGTATAAACCAACCCTAACCCAAACAAGATTTTTCCTTAGTTTTAAATTTGTATTTGTCATTTTTGCCGTACATTATTTCCTTTTGTTCCAGCGACGGCAAAACATTGTAGAACAGCAGGGATAAATTATGCAGTCTCAGAGCCAGTATGAACTCAGTAAACTGTTGCATGATTTTGGCCTTAAGTTCTTCAGAAATAAAGAAAACATAAAATTTTGAAACTATTTCATTCAAATGTTTGCATCAAATTTCAAATGTAAGTTTCATTCAAATGTATGTATGTATTCAAATGTATGAAATAAAAGTAAATAATACTGTAACAAAAATTTTAAAAAATCCTTATTTAATTCAAACTTACATGAAAGTTCATTACAGTAGAAACAATGAACAATAATATTAACTGATAGAGGTTACAAATTATCTCCTTTACATTTGCAAGCTTCTAATATTAATCTACGCATAATGGAGGACAAATGTCTCCATGAGAAAATGAAAAGGATTTTAAAGCAAACAATGGCAACGTTGTACAGAAAAAACATTTTTATCTCCAGCATGTGAGAATCTGAATTTATTAAAAATTTATTAAGAATTTATTAAAAAGTGACCCTTATCAAAATATAACACGCATACGTCAATTCTGATGCAAAAATATGGAGAAAAGATGGTATTTTTACTCGATAATTTTATATATGGCATTAATACGTATGTAAAGGTATATAAAATTTATGGTACGAATATACTCGGTTATAAAAATCAAAGGCATGTCATAAAGAAACTCAAAAATGTTTTACATATGTAGATGATTTTAGTGAAATTATATGTGACACTGTCGTATTTTTTGTATGAAATGTTTGAAACAGACGTAATATGAAACATGAAATGCTCAGAAGAGACGAAGCTCTGCCGGAAAATGAAGAAAACAGGGGCAAATCCTTTTAACATTGAATAAATGGCTATCTCGCTATATTGGCGAGTATTGGCAAATTTGCGATGGTTTTGGTGACTAATTTTCCTCAGCAGATTTGGCGAGAAATAGTCAAAGTCGTCAAATTTGGCGACCTTTTCGGCCCTTATATGTCTTCCAGTAATTTCCAGAAGTGGAAGGTACTAGAGATTTCTCGGCGGCCGGGGGAAACCTATATAGACAGGAAAGAGCATCAGCTCTTAGTTTTTCCTTAGTTCTTTAGTTCAGCGCTGAGTTCCGAGTATTGAGAGATCTCCGCAGTAGATTTGCCTTTTTAGATGTGCTTTGCATTCCGTTGTGTTTAACGTTCTCAGCAGTTTGAAGTGTAAGTACTGGTTTTAGTCTGTGATATAGAAAAGAGCTGTATGAGTATTTTTGTGAAAGTGCCAGAACTCTAAAGTGTTTCTTTGGGTAAAAATATATTTTATAAAGTTATCATGGGTTCTGTGTGCATTCAATCTATTACGAACCCGTAAGCATTACGATTAGCATAAAAATGGTAAAGAGATGATTAAAATTTACAGATTTATTCAAGGCACTTCATTAATTAATCAGAAATATGGTTACACATTCGATCACATTGTATCCAGACAGTATCATGGCTACGGAAAGTAAGATAGTGTTACTGGAAAGTAAGTTTTTTAGGCTGAAGATCAAGAATGCAAAACATATTGAATTTATTGCTTTTTCGGCAGGAAACTGCTTCCGCTATCATCATAGGTATGACTTTCTAGGATGTTCCCTGTTGCAAGAAGTCATTTTCTTCCCTTTTCCTAGAATCAAAGGCAAAAAAAGAATGCTACATCAAAATCACATTTAGGGAGTCTCAGGGCGTCATGATTATTCTAGTATGCAACTGTCCATGCTGTAACAATTATTAGCTTCTGCATAATCAGCGCCATTTTGGTCAATGATAAACGCTCGTGTGTGTGTAAATTGAAATGAAAAATATGAATTTTGGTCTACTATTTTCTTTTCCTCTCAAAAAATACAGTAAGATAATATACTTAAATGTGTAGCCATGTTTCTGTTTCACCCTATAGTTCAATATTTCTCAAAGTTTTTGCGTTTAGAATGTGCATGAGATAATATTGAAATTTCGCAGAAATTAGAAGTTCCCAATATGTTTAATACTATAATTGGCAATTCTGTTTCAAACAGATTTACATCGTCCCATTGATTCGTTTAATAGGTTAGTCTTGTTTAATATATTTTCAATTTAATAGGTTAATAATTTTTATGGCACTTTCACATAAAGTCAGATAAAAGAAAAAACAATCCTAATCCTAGTACCTGTAGAAGAAGAAGGAAATTTACTAATGAAAAATTTGTACTATTGAATTTGTACTAGTAAAATTTGTACTTTGTTTTAGTTTTAATTTCATACCTTTAAACCTTCTCTATGTAGTCTAAAATCTTATCACTGATTTCTAGCTGATATGATTACAAGTAGAAGTGGAACAATCTTAATGTTTATTAAATTTCATTCCTAAAAGCTTTTCGAAACTTTAGAATCTCGAATCCTTCATATGAGAATGATAAGAGAAGAGGTTTTAAAAGATTTTGTACAGCTAAATTTCAAATCTGCATGGAAAAAAAAAAAAAAAAAAAGTAAAAATAGAATTTCTTAAAATAAATCTATATTTGTTAAGAAGTTAGAAATGAAATTTATTTTGAAGTTAATTTTCTCAATATAATCTCTCTATCTCTCACATTCATACACAAACAAACAAACAGGAGAAGGTGAGTTAAATGATGTAGGGATTATAAAATTTATTTTAAGTATCAAAATAAGCACTAAACAGGGAATGCTAAAACTCTTTTCAGAAAAACACATGTGATATTCAGGGTGGCCACAACGTGATACTGATAATCCAAGCCCAAAGAAATTTCAATAGTTGGTTTCTTTTCTTGAGATATCTAGAACTAGATACAAAAAATATCTACGTTTCCAAAATTTTCAACTAAAACTTTTAACTTAAGACTCTCGAGATTCCAAAGATGGAAAAAAATGCGAACATTTGTGTACTTGTTTTGGATTATTCGCAAGATGCGAGGAATTCGAGGATTCTAATATCTCATCTTTAAGTATGAGCCATACTCTAAATACTCAAAATCCAGAGCCTGTTGCATCCTCCATTTGGAAAGTACATTATTGCATTGTGGAGACATTATCGCATTTCTAAATGGAGTATTTTGTATGTTCAAATATTTAAATTTTGCTTATGGGAACCCCTAGTTTCTTTATTTATAATTTTTTAAAACATTTAAAGGCATAATAAATAATGGTACCAAACTGAAGTCACTTTTTTCAAATGCAAGTTCATAGGAAATAATTCAGTTCTCAGTTATGGTTGCAGAACCTTCAACGACACCTGACAGACCTCAGGAATTCTGAGGAATCGTGGATGGGAAACTGTGATTTTAATTATGCAAATGCTTTAAAATAAGAAAAATAACAATAAAAATGCCTTATTAGCTATTGCAATAATTAAACCATTTGCGAATTTTGGAGAATGAAAAATTAATATTAGACATATTAAAATTCTCACAAATGCATAACTTTTATTATGGTGTGTATTTGTGAGAATTTTGAAATGAACTAAAAGAGGACTAAAATGGAGATGATAAAGTAGTACAAAAATATAAAAATAGAAATAAGGATATATTTCTACCTAGTAGGCACATTATACATACTCATACTAAAGTCTTTGATTTTCAATGATGGGCACCACCCGTTATACGTGCTGTCCACTACTAAGGCCGGAAGTGGTGGTCTACTTATTACGGAGGCACTTGATTGGTGGACCACCATTGCCTCCTGTGAAGGGACAAAAAATTTACATCCATGCTTTGTCCGGCATTAAATATTAGGCACAACTGTTTAGTTACCAAAGACTGATGATAGCAAATTTTTGATATGGCACAGATTATTTCTTTCACGACAGACAGGAAAATGGAAACTAAATCAAAAAAAGAAATATTCCGACTAAAGCAGCTAATCCCAACGCTCCAGCTATCATTCCTAATACTTTTCCCTGCAAATGAAAAAATAAATAAATAAATAAATAAGAATCAAAAATGAATATTTTATCTTAATACAATAATGCAAATAAACAGAACATTATAAATTTATGAACTTTTAAACTGTATAGTTAAGTAATACTAAGAGAACTGTTAAATTTAGAGTTATAATTTTCCCATGTAATCTTTTATCTATGTTTTTATGTGAAGATTATACATTTAATGATGCAAGCAATGCCTATCTAAGGGGAAATTTAATCAGTAGTTTAACTTTGAATTGAAATTTTTGATAAACACAAACACAGATGCATCTTGATATTCGTCTGATCTCAAGGCAGAGACAATGCAACACTGTGAAAAAATCGGGTCCGTGCCGTGACACTTAGCCGACCGGACACTTAACCGACACCATTTAGCCTACATGACATTTAGCCGACAAGGACACTTAACCGACAGTTCATTTAGCCGACACGGACATTTAGCCGACAAGGACAGTTAGCCGACAGGACATTTAGCTGATACACGGAATTCGGCGTCAGTACATTTAGCTACGGCAAAGTTAACTGTCTAGACATTTAGTCAACGGGACACTAAGCTGACAGTGACGTTTAGCTGACGCATGCCTAATGATTATTTAAATTTATTATTATAAATTACAAAATTTCTCGACTTCTCCATAAGTTCAATATTTAGGTTATTTTTTTAGCTTATCAGTAAAATTCAGTTTTCGATTCTTGAAGATCTGATATGTGCTTTTAATTATTGTGTTAATTTAGCATTGTTTGATGTGTATCGTGCTGTTTGGTGTATATTGGCCAAATTGAAAAAGCGCTGAAATTTCTCATCAGCGAATATGAATCAAATTTCGAAAGGAAAAAGAATTTTTTTAGCTAGGTCTCTTAATTACATTTTAATATGGGATCTTCAAAAATTATCCGTAAAACTTTTTCATTTAATCAACTTTCACATCATTAATAATTTTTCTTGTAATTTTCCAATCTCGCTCTTTTAAAATGCTTTCAAATTTCCAATATCTTTACGTTTCATTACTTGTATTGTTCATCACATCATGTTACATTCCTTCCCTTAAAAAAATCGTTTGGCTCCTCCCACTAATGAAATTTCCTTTCCCTGTCAAGAAAATTCTGAATAATGCAATAAAAATTTTTGTTATTCTTGAATTATACTTTTTTATAGAAACGTATGACAGTGAGGGTTAGTTCAACAAATAAATATATTTTGTTATTAAAACTAATTAAAAAAAGTGAATTTTTAAGACCAGCAAAGGTATAAATTATTTGTGACCTCTATAATTTGCAGTTCATTCATACGTGAAGGTTGTCTGTCTTCGACGCTTCTCGCGTTATCAGTGGCGTAGCAAGCATAACTGGCGCCCGGGGCAAAATATCTTTTTAGTGCCCCCTCCAAAAAAACACTTTCAGTAATATAATGTATAGAATATATTCGTAATAAGAAAATAATGCAAATAATAATAAAATGCTGAATCTGCCATAAAATACTCAAAAATATATTAAGAATAGTCACTACCTAACTACATTATCCTTGAATTTGGAAATACATCTGTGTCGGCGAAAAAATCAGACATACGATGATCTAGAATTAGTTAAAAAGGTGTTATTTATTTTACATATTTATATAAGTGTTTTTAAACAATTAAAAGTTTAATATACATTATAGATAAATAAATAGATATGTAGCAACTTTCCTACTACAACTCAACTCTGCCAGTCTGGTAACCCATAGCAACCAAAAACAAAATAATATTTATTCTATTCAATTGTTATAATTATTTAACGATCAGTCTCAAAAAATTGTACTACCATAATTGGTGACCCGTATTTATTATGAATAGCTATCTTCAATGTTGCACGAATATGGAGTTTATATATCAAAATTCTGAACAGCAGTAAGTTACCCAGTGTGATAGGATTCAAATAAGACATTTCACATGTGATTTGAAGCGTTGTGCCATATTCCAATGAGTCAACATATTTTTGTCATAATTTCAGCGGATATATGTATCGTCTGCTGCATTTGAGCCGCCAGTTTCTCTGATTCAAGAAACTGTGTCACTGTATACATATTGATTATTTTTTAATACATATTATTACTGTGCATATTTGATTGATCTAAAGCGCTTGACAACGATGCTGCTTCACAATTGTCGCGAGTGGCAGTTAAGCCACCACCTTTTTGTCGCCGAGACCCATCGTTATGGTTCATTCAATTGGATGCGCAGTTTAAATTGAGTCACATTACTGCCAACGAAACTCGATTTTATACAGCGATCGCCGTGTTAGCATCAGAGGTACTTCAATCAGCTTGTGAAATAATTTTGAATCCACCGACGACGGACAAATATACATCTTTAAAAAAATTAATTTCTGTTTATGAAGAATCCGAGACAGTTAAAATCCAGCAGCTGTTGCACGATTTACAGTTGGGTGATATAAGGCCTTCTCAATTGCTGTCTAAAATGTCAGACTTAGTCGCCGGTAACCTAATGGATAACATTCTTAAAACATTATGGATGAATAGACTCCCATCTAATATGCAAACCATTTTAGCGGCCAGTAGCTAGCCACTTAAAAATCTTCCCGAAATCGCTGATAAAATTCACAAGCTGGCCATTCCTGCGCAAATACACGCAGTGCAGGCTCCTGGGTCAGGTATTGTGGCGTTACAGGCTCAAATTGATGACTTTTTCAAACAGGTTGCTCAGTTAGTGGCCATTCAAGCTGAAGCTTTTCGCGCAACCACTCCACATCACGTGGTCGAAATACACGTCGTAGCCCACCGAGCAAACGTTATGAAATCCCTCTTCCGGGTATTTGTTTTTACTACCACAAATTCGGAAACAAGGCAAATAAATGCCACCCACCGTGTGTCGTTATAACGACCAGGGAAACGAGAAGGGCCGTTGCTCGAAGTCATATATGACAGCGACCGGAATCTTGCACGCCTTTTCGTCATAGGAGAGAATTTCGTGCTTAAGGTTTCTTCTAGACACCGGGGCTGATGTTTCTGTCATTTCACCACATTTTCAGGAACAAAAGCGCCTTACCAAGTTACAACTTTATGTAGCAAATGGAACACCTATTCAAACTTTTGGTGAACGCCTATCTGTTGATTTAGGATTGCGCTGCAACTTCCAAATAGCCATTCATTATTGGCTACTGTTCTATTATTAGTGCTTACTTTTTACAAAAATTTTCTTTGCTTGTCGATCTTAAGAATCGCCGTTTGATAGATTCCGCAACCAACTTAACTTATCCGGGAGTAATTCGCAATAGTCAATATTTGAGCATTAAACTGATTTCGAGTAACTCCCCATGGCATCAACTTCTCAGAGAATTCCCTACAATCACGCGCACAGTTATGGGTATTTCCGAACCCAAGAACGATGTACTACATTATGTTGAAACTAACGGATCGCCAATTGCCGCTAAACCTAGACGCTTACCTCCGGACAAGCTTAAAGCCACGAAAGAGGAATTTTAATACATGATGGAACAGGGAATTTGCCGTCCTTCAAAAAGTTCATGGGCCAGTCCGCTCCATCTAAATGGTAAGTGGCGATTATCGCCGGTTAAATGCAGCTACCATTCCTGATCGTTACCCAGTCCCGCACATTCAAAACTGTATGCAAGTTTTAGAGGGAAAAGCTATTTTTACAACCCTTGATCTTGAGCGGGCGTATCACCAAGTGCCTGTTAACCCAGCTGAAACTGGGGTTATTACGCTTTTTGGACTATTTGAGTTTCCGGTCATGACTTTCGGCTTATGCAATGCTGCTCAAACGTTACATCGCTTCATGAATCAGGTGTTAATCGGCCTCGACTTTCGTGTACCTTATTTTGATGACGTCTTAATCGCCTTGTCTTCAGAGCAAGAACACATCACATTTGAGAACAGTTTTTGAAGGTTTTCAAAGGTACGGTGTCAGTCTTAATCCTTACAATTGCGTTTTTGGCCAATCAAGAGTATCCTTTCTTGGGCATGAAATTTCCGCTGATGGCGTTCAACCCGTTCCAGAGTCACCGCTATCCGCGATATGTCCGAACCATCTACAATGAAGGACTTAAGATTATTTCTTGCTATGCTCAATTTTTATCGACGTTTCTTACCTCATGCAGCAACCATACAATCACCTCTGAATTCTTTTTCGGTTGGAAGCAAGAAAAGCGATAAACGCTTTATAACCTGGACCACAGAATCTCGCGAAGCGTTCCAAAAATGCAAAAAGGATTTAATTTCGGCAATAAATCTGCAGTATCCTTCCGCATCTAAACCATTATCACTCTACGTTTATAAGGTATTTCTTCCGCTTTCGTAGCGTGCCTTCGTGGTGTAGTAGTTCTGCACGCTGTGCCGGTACTCCAGAGGTTCGAGATTCGATTCCCGGCGAAGGCGGTTGCTAATTTTTCAATCTCTTTTGCTCCCAAAAGTCCTAATGTCACTACAGTGACGCCCGAACTGAAAGGGGTGTTGGATGAGGATTCTCCACACCTAGGATTTGGCGATTGGGTTCCCTAAAAACACCAGTCGCATTATACACGATATATTATATACATTATAAGCTATTTTTACCACTTCCCTAGCGTGCCTTCGTGGTGTAACGGTAGCACGCTGGGCCGGTATTCCAGAGGTCCGCGTTTTGATTCCCGGCGAAGGAATTGCATATTTTTCATCTCTTCTGCTTCCAAAAAATAACCTAATGTCTCTACACGTTGACGCATCAACAACAGGTATAGGAGCAGTTTTACAACAGAAAGATGAAGAATTATGGAGACTCATATTTTTCTAAAAAACTCTCACCAGCACAAACCAGATATAGCACTCACGATTGCGAATTATGAGCAATTTATGAAGCTATCAAATATTTTCAACATATGCTAGAGGGACGCGTTTTCATGATCTTCACAGATCACAAACCCTTAACCTATGCGTTTCAACAGAATAAAACTTCTCGTCAAATGAGACACCTA